GACCTAAGGTAACTACAATTGAAGAGAGTAAGGACATTGACGTCTTTAAGATAGAAGAACTCGTAGGATCCATTCAAACATATGAATTGACCTTAGCTCATCCCAAGAAACAAAAGTCCATTGCCTTGAACACCCGTAGGGAAGAAAATTCTGAGTCTAGTGATGTAGAGTCCCTTAAAGGTGAGGAGATAGCCTATTTTGTAAAGAATTTAAGAAGGCCTTAAGGAATATACCAAAACCACAACCTAGGCAGAGGAGTCCCCCTAGGAAATTTCAGAAGGAAAATCGTGATTAGGGTGGTGGTAAAAGGTCTAGTAGTGAGCTTCAGTCGGTTAGATGTCATGAGTGTAAGTGGTTTGGGCACTATAGGAATGAATGCCCTAATCTCAAGAGGAGCTTGACTAAGGATAGAAAGCCTTAGTTGCGCACTATTTGATGACGACTATAGTGAGAGTGACCCGAGTGTGCAGTCTGAGTGTGAGAAAATAGGGAAGTACATGGTCGTGTCTCAAGTAGAGAGTGAATCTGATAAAGCTAGTGAAAAGACTGAGGTTGAGAGCGGTAATGAGGCTTCGGATGATGAGGATAATCTTCAGGTTGTGTACCAGGAGTTATATGATGAGAGCCTTAAAATTAAGAAATTCAACCATGCCCTACTGAAAAAGCTTGATTCCTTAGAGAACTAGAAAGAGATACTTGTTGGTTAGCTTAAGGACTCAACCAGTTCCCTGAATGAGTTGAGATGTATCAATGAGAGGCTAGAAGAGAAGGTTAAGACCCTCACGAGTAATTTAGAAAAATCTAATTCTCAACTTGAGGTTTTCTCTGGTGGGACTAAGAAGCTTGATAGTCTTTTAGGTATGAACAAGCCCGCAGGTGATAGACAAGGTCTAGGTTATGTTAAGAACAATTCCAATTATGCTAGTACCTCTAAGACTTCTTTCGTTCCCGCTTCTACTCAGCCACACATTGCTAGAAATCCTGAACCTAGAGTTGAGCGTGTCACGGGACAGAGGACTCCTAGGTCTCATAAGAACACTTCACCTAAAATTCGTCTTCAACAATCATATGTGTCTGAGCCTAGATTTGTACCCACTTGCCATCGCTGTAGTGCTATGGGTCACATTAGGTCGAGGTGTCGTATGCGTGTGGGTAGGAAGAGAAATCAGGATATTCCTAGTCAGGTCAATTCTCTTTATTGTCAAGATCTTCAGCTGACTAAGATAATTTCTCTAATGACTAGGGCTACCTCTACTGCTAGGAAGGCATGGGTCAAGAAATTTGATATTGACCGTATGGCAGTCACTGGTGCTTATGCACCACACTGATCCCATTTGTGGGCATCTGCATGCATTGTCCATTACACTAATGTATTTTGCATCCATCTTACACTTTGCATGTGTTTATTTGTTTTTGTGCTTTATTTTCCTTTTAAATAGTTGTTTGCTTTTTATTTGTCTTGTGTGCTCGACTTTTTTTTTTGTGTGAGTTTTTCATTCGAAATAAAAAAAAAAATCATTTTCTTTTATTTCATTGGTTTAAGTTATTGTTTTGAGAAAAAGAAAAACAAAAGTGAGAACAAAAAAAGTTTGATTTGAAAATTGATTTTACAGCATGATACAC